CGGGCCCGCCCTATCCATATTCAACAGCCACGTCACGCCCATCCTCTCTCAGACGATCGCCGATAAATACCCCCGCTGCCGGGAAGCAAGACGAACTACATCCCAATCCAACCTAATCTAATCCAATCCAAGATCGTTGTGTTCCTTCTGAGAGTATCGATAAGAGCAGACATATACGTAGGTAGGCGATGGCCCCGAGCGCGTCGATGCTGTTCCTGAGCTACCACCAGCTGCACCACGGCCCCGCCGACGCGCCACACGGCAAGGATGGCGCCGACGGCTTCCGGTTCGGCCTTGGCAATGTCTTCTTCTCCCTCGGCGTCCTGGCGCCGAAGCGGCGGGATGCGGCGCCAGAGGCGACGGTGTTCGACGGAAAGCAGAAGCAGAGGGCGCGTCGGTCCGGCGGCGAGGAGGAGGAGCCCGCGACGCTGGCGAGCAAGTTCGATGAGGCCGTGCGGCTCAGCTGCTGGTCGTCGTGAAGCTTAATTTCCGCGTAACCCTGTAGCTTTTGCCTCTTTGGCCATGCAAGCATGTGCCGTGCCGTGCCGATCGACGACAATGGCGGCATATGTGTAGATAAAATGTGACTGTGCATATGAATTTCCTTCCTTTCTTTCTTTCTTTCTTTCTTCCTGTGAAATCCTGGGTGCTGTTTTCTGAATTACCCCGATCATAAGATTTGCTATACGTGAGCTCGATTTGCTATACCTTCTGAACTTGAAGCGCCTTTCAAAGGGATAATTTTCAAATTCTACCCAGAATCCCCTAATAAACCTCAAAAGAAAAGAAGAGACGGCTGAATTACCCTGCTCCCACACACCATCCTCAACTGCTATCTAAGCGGGCCTATGAACTTGCGAAGTTTTTCCTTTGAATGGTGAATTTGCGTAGTTTTCTTCACGCTCACATTCTCTCGAAAAAAAGAAGTATTATACCACATTTGAAAAAACAAAAGAGATCGGCGTAGTTTCCTTTGAATGGTGAATTTGCGTAGTTTCCTTGACATTTTTTAGCACATGTTATCCCTTGACATGATTTACAGTTTTTTTTTTGAGGGGGACATGGTTTACATGTGGCTGGCGAGACCAGTGCTGAATCCGGCGGACAGCAGAGGATTCGGCCCACAGCTCTAACTGGGCCTCCAGCAGAATTCTGCCCCAAACTTTACTTAACCCTCCTGCCCCAACCGCGCCATAGGGAAAAAAAAAAGAACTCGACACCCCCAACCTCTGCCCCTGCTGCTTCCCCCTGCCGTTCGCTGCCCCTTCCGACCAGCCGGCGCATCCCGCACGGCACGCCATGAAGGTGGGTGATCACTCGAACCTCTCCCGCTCTCCCTTTCTCTGGATGCAGCCGTATGTGCTCCGAGCACCGGTCAATAGGTTCCTGGTTCGGGGAGTCTCCCTGGCGTGCCGGCCACGTGCTCGACGTAATGCCTTGCCGGGTTTCCTGTGCAGATCGCGGTGGAGGGATGCATGCACGGGGAGCTGGACAAGGTCTACGACACGATGCAGCGGCTCGAGGCGGCCGAGGGCATCAAGATCGACCTCCTCATCTGCTGCGGCGACTTCCAGGTGCGCTCAGGCTGCAGGCAGTCCCCTCTGCCCACGCTCCTTCAGGCTTTGTTCGGTTAATCCTCTCCCCAAGAGGATTGAAGGGGATTGGCAAGGATTGGTTCATATTTTGACTTAGAAGAGGTTTAAATCCTCCTCAAACCCCTTCAATCCACTCGGATTTACACGCAACCGAACAAGGCCTCATTGGAGCTGGAGTTGCTTTTTCCCCTTGAATACATTGCGAGGTTACAATTTGGCTCGACGCTGGTGTATGCTGTTTCGCATCATGTCGTGCACGCACCTGCTTGGGACATGGGATCTGTCTGGTTCACGATGGCCTAGCTGCTGGCTGGTGGTTTGTTTGAACCTAATATCTGTTACTCGTTGGAATAGATAGTTGATCTGGATAGGGTATCACAGCATTTTCTAAGTCTACCACACGCTTCCCTTGAATTGAATGCTGCAATATGTCTTACTGGGTCTGGTCGTGTTGGGTCCTTTGTTATGGAAATGTGTTTATTTTACTGTCCTTAAGAAGGTCATATCTGGATCGGTTCTATGGAGCATGGACAATTTGATTTTTCACATGGTTATAGTTTAATGTTCGGTAGTAATTCTATGTACGTGTTGATATATTTCACATTCTGACATTGCACCTTTTCATGCAGGCTGTAAGGAATGAGAGTGATTTACAGTGTGTAAATGTCCCACCAAAGTTTCGTACCATGAACTCGTTTTGGAAGTACTACTCTGGGCAAGCAGTTGCCCCATACCCAACTATCTTCATCGGCGGGAATCATGAAGCAGCCAATTATTTGTGGGAACTGTGAGTCTTTGTCACTTATGCCCGACACAACTTTCAAAAGACCAATCAGTGGTTTAATTTAGCTCTGGGACCTTATTCTATAGTTTCACTTTGGAGGAAAATAACTAGAATTTACATATAAAAAATTGGGAAAGATTGAAGCACAGTAATCTGAGAATTCCCATGATATTTACTCAAATTTACAATCTAAAAAAAATCAAACCGGGACAAGGATTATCTATGTATGGAAGTGTGTTGTCCAATAGCCACATATATACTCCTGGCACTGTGGTCCTTGTAACTATTCATAGAAACTTCGGGATGTAAATAAATAGAATTAAAGGGAGAAATGCATTGTTTTCAATCTAAGGCTGTGTCTGGTTTTGAACTAATATCTGCTTAAGAGTTATTAACAAGACGATCAACAGCTTTCGATTTACTCAACATATTTGAGTATTGTTGTTCAATGATGAGGTGTTGTTTTGCTTATTGAAAAATGCAATGCCTGCTGTTTTCTAATTGTGGTGTAACCACTATCAGGTACTATGGAGGATGGGCAGCACCTAACATCTACTTCTTGGGGTTTGCTGGTGTTGTTAAGTTTGGAAATATTCGAATTGGTGGAATGTCAGGAATACATAAGCAACATGATTATTACCGAGGCAAGTTTATTAATATCTTGCTTGGGATACTTTCCAGAGGTTATTGTCTAGGGAGTAGAAGCCTATTGAAGAAGGATCCTAAACTAGAACTGTAAATGTCATTAGAACCTGAACAGAGATTATTATTGCCAATCTATGCAGGACACCATGAGAGGCCTCCATACGATAATGCTACTATACGATCAGTGTACCATGTAAGGCATTACGATGTTCTCAAGCTAATGCATGTGAAGGAGCCTCTAGATATATTCATGTCACATGATTGGCCTCTTGGCATTACTGAATATGGAAACCGGGAGAGGCTCCTTCGAGAGAAACCGTTCTTCAAAGAAGAGGTAATACCAAGTTGCCAATTGACATAGGGGATTATTTTGTGTTACACATTTGTTATGTCCACATAGTACACGACCCACCCATCGCCAAGTTAGGGGGAAGATTCCAATGATTTATTAATTTGGTAGTTTATCATCTAAATTAAGATCTATTTTAGCTTGGGCGTTAAGCCAACTAGACATAAGATCTACGATTTGTTCTTAGATTGGATTGTTAGTCCTCTATAAGGAGAACCCTCTGTGAGGAATAGAGCCAAGCAAGAATTAGAAGAGTGGTTCTTCTATCTTGCCCCTGGAGTGAGAGCCTTCCCTCCTATCTACCTAGATCCTAGTAAGCAACATATTCAAGCCATGGCAACTCTCTATAACATATGCCTTTCGTAACTCATCATCCACCAACCTTGTGAAAATGCCTCAAGGGAGTGTGTTGACTTTATTGTGTGACAATGTCACATTTTGAGTCAAAGCCGAAGAATAATATAATAAATAAGCGATGCCACATTTTTCATGATGATTACTGCAGCGAAACAGTTTCCAGTGCTGTGCCAGCATCTGTGATCAGCTAAAGATTGTTTTTTTCTCTCCTTTTTTTGCTAATTAATCTTGTCAAGGTACACTAGATAGACCTTAGTATTTTAGCTAAAAATGATAATGTTATTCTTACATTGTTAGTCGGTGGCACCTATGGGCAACAAAACTATGCCTATTTGGAAAACTAATTTCTATGGCATCAAATTTCGTATGGTGAGCTGATGACTACTGTGGTCTGACATGCACAGTGTTTGATTGAGACTACTTCCTCAAAGAAGGAATGCTTCATGCTTCCCTACACACATATGAAACTATTGTTAATGTTCTGTTCTCTTGCCATTTCAGGTCAACGAGAGAACATTAGGCAGTGAATCTGCAGCAAAATTACTGAACAAATTAAAACCACCGTACTGGTTTTCAGCTCATCTTCATTGTAGATTTCCAGCTATCATTCAACATGGCGAGGATGGACCTACGACTAAGTTTCTTGCTCTTGATAAGTGCCTTCCCGGGCGGAATTTTTTGCAGGTACTACTATCTCCTCTACCACAGACATTTGAACCACTACAAATAAGTTCCTTGCACATATTTGTTCTGAGATGTCAATCAATTTTAGGTAATAGACATTCCATCCAATCCGGGACCATATGAAATTCAGTATGATGAAGAATGGCTTGCAATAACACGGAGATTCAATAGTGCTTTCCCCTTAACTCGGATGCCATGTACAATTCGGTTGGTGCATAAATTGTTTTGTCTTGTTTGTTTGTTGCAGTGTAATGAATATTCTGAAAATATACAATAAATGACAAAGCTGGAGTAATTCAATTGGCTTATCTGACAGGAATGAAGAACTTGATATTGAAGATGACCGGCAGTGGGTTAGGAGCAAGTTGAATGCTAGAGGGGCTAAGACATTTGATTTTGCCCAGACTGCTCCACCTTATGATCCGTCCAGGCCAATTTATAACCCCCCCATAGCAGGTAAGCTTTAATAGTCATGTCTTCACTGTGAGCCATAGATATTATGGATTCTACGGTAAAAATGTTTCTTGATCTTGAGCTACCATACACTTTTATGTTAGTTCCACAATTTCATCTTATGTTACAGTTCGTCGCTTTCAACCTAGTTGTTTTTGTATATAAAGTATCACAAAATTAGTATCTGATTCTAAGCATTTGAATGTATGCCCTTTCTTTGTCAAACTTCTGATGTGTGCTTTAAATGGTTCTTGTGCTACACAGTTCCTTGCAGAAACCCACAAACTGAATCATTTCTCCAGTTTTTAGAGCTCCCATATCTGCTGGACTCGTCTAATCCTGGCGGTATGTTTCTCGCTCTTTGGTAAATGCTTATGGCTGTAGCTCAGTCTCTCTTGTGTTAATATTTAAACTCTTGAGTTTCATGCATGCCAACCGATAACTGGTTGGTTGTCGGTCTGACCTAGTCAGTTTGCACTTAATGAATAGTACTTTGGTTTACGCTCACTCAAACTATTTTTGTTACCAAAAGAAGAACCGTTGTTCTGCCGTGGTTATACTTTGTGATGACTTGTGGTTACTCATCTTTTGGTCAACAGGTGTTGATATAAATGTATCGAGCTCTCAGGCAGCACCTGCACTTGACAACGACGACATAGAGCTCCCCGATGAAGTTGAAGACGACGAAGATGATGAGGAGTGAAGCACTTAAAGTAGTGGACTCGTTGGAGGTTTCACCAGGACAAGTTCTGTTGTATTATCCCTGCGTCCAGGGTTTTGTTGCCAGCTATCTTGATGGATGTTATTACCTCTGTAGAGCATAACTGCAGAAGGAAAACTAACTTGTAGACCGTAGTACCGTACAGTAACCTTGCTTGATTACGAGGTGTAACCGGAGTTATTATATGCTAGCACAAGATTTTTTTAGAGATATTACGTCTTTTTTTAACTAACAATGTCAATCTTCTTTATTTTAGATTTTGTTGACGAGTCTCTGGTATCAAGTATCTATATATATTTTTCAGAACAATGATTAATTTTATTAATCAAGTGAGGAGATTGCTATAGATTGGAGAAACCGAAACAAAACAAAGCACAACTAGAAACTCAAGAGTTACATCAAAGCATCTGAAATCACCAAAGTTCTGCTAAACACAATGTTGATAGCCTATGCACACGGTAAGGACATACTAGGCTAAACTCAAAGGTTTCGAATAGCAGCACGAGCGCAGCACAAGGGGTAAAATCTTATACCGTTGAACGTACCGTGACCAGGGACACTCCTCAAAAGACAAGCCGTCAAGCTGCTGATTCATCCTCAAAAGACAAGCTGTCAAGCTGTTGATTCATCACCGGACCACTAAAAGGGAAGACCATGGCCGCGATGGGACGAAATAGGAGAAACTAAAACATCACCAGCTCCTCGACGTCGCCAGTGAAAACCACAACGGGATGTGGATGAAAGCCGCATGAAAGGAAGATCCTAATTCAGTGGCGGAGTTTTTTTTGTTTTTTTTGTGTGCAGGAAAACAGTGGCGGAGCTTTGTGGAGACTGGTACGCTCATTTTGCATCATGTTTTCCTACTGTCATTTATAATGTTTTGGGTCAATTTCACTTTATAATGCGATTATAATGTCTTCCCTCTCTTATTATGCAAATCTATATGAAGAGGGAAATTGCCGGCAGCTGAAATTTTGGACCCGAAAAAGTTACAACAGAGATAGCCATTCTCCGGAGCTCCAAATGACCTAAAATTTTACGGAGATTTATTTTGGAATCAATAAAAATACTAGAAGAAGAATCACGAGGAGGGGCCACACCAGTGGGCCACAAGCTCAGGTGGCGCAGCCCCGAGGCGCGCCATGTGACTTTGTGGGCCCACCAACAGGCCTCCGTAGCCCTCCTCCTATATGATGCTATTTGCCCTAGAAAAAAATTCAAAAGAAGACTTTGGGACGAAGCGTCACCGTCTCGAGGCGGAACCTGAACAGAAGCACTTTGCTCTCCAGCGGAGCGATTCCGCCCGGGATACTTTCCTTCCGGAGGGGGAAACCGAAGCCATCGATATCACCAACGATCCTCTCATCATGGGAAGACTCATCTCCATCAACATCTTCACTAGCATCATCTCCTCTCAAACCCTAGTTTCTCTCTTTTATTCAATCTTTGCCCAAAATCTCAGATTGATACCTGCGGGTTGCTAGCAGTGTTGATTACATCTTATAGTTGATGCTAGTTGATTCACTTGGTGAAAGATTATATGTTCAAATCTTTGATCATAAATTACTCCTCTGATCTTGAACATGAATTGTGAGTAGTTTTATTTGTTCTTGAGGACATGGGAGAAGTCTATAAGTAATTATGTGAAATTGGTATTCGTTCAATATTTTGACGAGGAGGTTGCTACACAGCGCCCGCGCGCTATGCGGGCGGATCTTGCGGCCGGCAATTAAGAAAAGTGACCCTATCAGTCCCCCACCCCACGTGCTAAAGAAGGCAAGTACAGCTTCCCCATCTCGTTGCAACGTCCCGACAACCAGCCATCCTTTCCCTCACGTGATCCACTGATCCTCCCCCTCCACCCAGCACCAGAAAATCCTACGCCCATCAGCCCAGATCCCCCGTGCAACTCCTTCCCCCAGCCACCGCTGGATGCCATGGCCTAGCGTTGTGGAGCTCTACTCCCACAGCGAAAAAACAGAGTAAAATAGAGACAAAAACAAGGCAAAAGATCATGGGGAAAATTCTGAAAACACAATTGCGTCTGCAACTCTTCTTGCTGATCAGGCAAAAATTCTGGTGAGTTGTGGGCAAAAATATTAGCAGAGCTGGGAAAGCTTCTCCCAGTGAAAAACAACAAAGGTAAAAGGGTTGTTCCAATTATTTTGGCCATGAACTTCTTTTAGTTCTAGAACTAGTGGATTTCCCACTCTCTACCTTCTCCCATAATCTTCTAGTTGCAAAAATTGCCCCTGTAACAAAGTGTTTGCAGAACATGACTTGGATCTTGTCCCCTGTTCTTGCATCCCCGTACCCTGTAGAACTGGATGCTAGATAAAAGTTGCTGAATCTTGAATTGTATCTTCTCTATTGTCTTGCACCTTGCTTCTGCTAAAAAGAAAAGAAAAGAAGCAGAGTTATTTGTGTTAGTAATCTGTGTATAGTAAAAGCTGGTCAATAATTCATTTGTAGTTGCTTACAAAAAAAACTTGTAGTAAAGTCGTGTTGCTTACAAAAGCACAAAAGTAGCCAAGCGCAAAAAGCCTAAAAACTAGTTGTAGAAAAAATTCATGCAACCCTGTAAAAGCTGCTCACTGAGTTTGGTTTGTTTTGGTGATTTTTGAAATCCTGTAAAGCAATTACACGTCAGGTACAAGCCTTGCAAGTTCAGGATGTGCTTCCTCAAACCAGTTATAGCAGCAAAAAAGAGAGTAAACTATGACTCTCCTACAATGTAGAAATCACGGTACTTGTACTGCGGAAACCTCTCCAGGCAATTCACAATGAAATTGTATGAATCATGAGGTTCTGTAGTAGGTGGACAAACAGTATAACAGAATCACAAGCTCTTTAGTCTTTGCCTATATGAACACTTCACACTATCTACATACTCCCATTATTGGGATGCCAATGGCAAGGTTGAAAGAGGAGGCAACAGCAACATACCAAAGGATTTTCTTGGAAATTAAATCCACCATAGTGCTGATAAATCCATGCCCACGTAAGGGGGAGGGGGGAAGCCTTCTACGTCTTAATGAAAAAAGAGTAACGAAAAAATCCAAAGAGTTGGTGTGTGTGCCAGGGAAATGTGTGCGCTGTTTGCAAAAGTCAACTTTAGTATCCCCCACCCGCCGACCCGCCCGAACCCCCTACCACCCTCGTTAGGCAGTTTAGGCGACTAGGTCAACTGGTTAGGCGACCTAGCACGCCGGGGTAGGCGAGTTGGTATTGCCGGTTGAGATCGATTTCCAATGGTGTGTGGGGGTTCCGTGTGGGCGAGTAGGTCGACGGCTTAGGCGACCTAGCACGCCGGGGGTAGGCGAGTTGGTATTGCCGGCTTAGGAGATTTCCGAGGGGTGTAGGGGGTGCGTGTGGGCGACTAGGT